GGGGAAGGGGAAGAGATTTGCAAGTGGTGCGGCTTGCGTGGGAACCGTTTAAATGGGTCTCTGCCCCCCAAATCGCTCTGAGAAGCTTGTAAACCAGACCACGGGCAAGTCATCCCCTTTTTCAAACAAGCAACTTGATGGGACATGTTGCTCTCTCCCTGTCTGGCGTTCTGCAGAGGGGCTAGAACCGCAATTCCCAGAATTCTCAGCCAGGACACAGGCTGGGTTTTCCAGGAGCTGCAGACTTGGGCTGTTGGGAAAGTGCTGTCAGGCCCAGCCCAAGAACAAGAGGGAAACAATCCAACCAGGTTCAGTTCTTTTATTGCTCGCACCATATAGGCAGAATCTTGCCGGACTAAATCTGTACTACGCTAACCTAATGGATATACCCTGGCAGATTCTAGGGAGTGGCTATCTTAAGTTTCTTCCTCTTCCCACACTCCTGCTCCGGACTGTGTTGTCTCTTGTCTCCCTAGCCCGCTGCCTTCCTCCTGGAATGCGCTCCCTCCTTCCTGACAACCTGGTTGTCTACTGCGTTCCATGACAGGTGCTAAGTGGGATCGGATCCACAAGCAGGGCTTGTAGTAACAGCCTCGCTTTCCAAAATGAGTCAATCTCACTGGAAGACTATAGGTTGCCCTTCCCCGAGCTGGTATCCTCCAGTGTGGTCACCCCTGGAGAGGGAACCAGGTAGAAGATAGTTCTTGGAATGAGGCTGGTCTCAATCTTAGATAAATCTGGGCAGTCCAATTTTTGTGAGTGAAAAAGCTAAGTGCCCCACCCTAGAAAAACTTACTTTCTCCTTGATTCATTTTGGGAGGTTCCTGTTGGTAAGGAGGCATCTTTTCCTGAGAGGGGACAGGCGAGTTAGCAGGGCTGATCACTTCAATCGCATCTCTAGACGTTTCGTATCGGTGCGAAGAGGAGGACACTGCAGAAGATAAGGATGAGAGAAAGACGTGGTGTCTACAGTAACTTAGAAGGATGTTTATGCAGAGTCTAGAAAACTCTGCAGCATTTTACAACATTATTTCAGAATAGACTCTGTCCTTTCCCTAACCCAGCATTTCTCAACCTTAGAAACTTTAAGATGCGTGCACTTCAACTCCCAGAATTCCCCAGCCAGCTATGCTTCTGGGGAATTCTGGGAGTTGAAATCCATACATCTTAAAGTTCCTAAGGTTGAGAAACGCTCCCTAGCCCTTTAAACAGCCAGCATGATGTGATGGTTAAAGGTCCTGATGCCCCTGGCCCCAGCCTGGAAGGTATCCATCATTCCCTGCCCATCAGCTTTGCTGGAAGAAGTCCTGCACTTGGCAACAACCTCGTGTGGGAAAGCCCAGGGCTGGCCTGACCACCCACTGTTAGCTGGAGGGCACTTCAAAGAGGTCATGCTTTGGTCTCCTTTCAAAGAAACCATGGATACCTCAGGTGTAGGAAGAAGGAAGTCATTCTAAAGAGACAGTCTGTCCAGGCCAAGGGTGTAAATAACCTTTATCAAATGGGTTAGTCGAACATTTTGTGCTCTAAAAGCCTCTGGGGATTTTGGTGGAAAAGCAGCATAGAAACATACGCTGGCTGGGTTCACACAACACACTATCCCAGATTAACAAAACAGGAGCCAGCTGGGCGCAGGGGTGAAGGTGGCTGGGCGAGAAACCGGGAGTCCATGAGTTTTAGTCTCCCCTTAGGCACAAAAGCCGGCCGGGTGACTTGGGGCCGGTCCCTCTCTCTCAGCCCAACCCACCTCGCATGAGTGTTCTTGTGGGGAAAAGAGCCTCGAACTGTATAAAATAAAGATGCAACCCAAGTCTAACAATATATAAATAAAAGCCAATTTCCACGTCCACATGCCTAATTGTGAGGCGCAGAAAAGAGCAACAAGGATGAATGTCGGACCAGGAACTATGTCTTACAAGGAGAGCGCGAGGGAGTGGGAACGGCTTTCTGGGATATGCTAACGCTTTCCGTGGGTCTGATGACGTATCGGCCGAAAGAACGCTGAATCTCTCTTCTTTTAGAGGCCAGCAACAGAATACTAGATTTCAGTCCCAGAAAGGTAGGTTGATCCTGGCTGAATGTTTGGAAAAACTTCCTAAAGTTAGAGCTGGTGGACAGGGGAGCCCTGATGCCAAAGGGGGGTGGATGGACTCCCCTTTGCTGGAGGTGGTCAAGCAGCACCTGGAAAGGTGCTGATCAGAGGGGCTTTAATCTGGATCATAGCACAGGGCAAGGCTCCAACTTTATTGCTGTACAGCAGTGTTTCTCAACCTTGGCCGCTTTAAGATGGGTGGACTTCAACTTCCCCATGGCTGGCTGGGGAATTCTGGGAGTTGAAGTCCACCCATCTTAAAGCGGCCAAGGTTGAGAAACAGTGCTGCAAAGCGTAAGGAGGTTGACAATGATGGAAATAGGCAAGAACGATTCCTTAGGGGCTAAATCCAGAATGAAGCAACATTTGGAAGTGGCTCAGACAGACACCTCCCTAATTCACTGAAGTATAGGAAGGAGGAGGAGGTCCAGCACAATCAGATTTGCAAGATTCGGTTATTACAGTCAACCTCAATAAAGACAGTTTATTCCTTCCCGCTGGAGCTGAAGGAATTCCTTCTCCTGCTCTGGTCTACCTAGTGGGGCTGACAAGAGCCCCTGCCAACCAACCAACCAACCAGCCAACCAACCGACTAACTAACTAATTCTTTCTCTCTCTCTCTCTCTCTTTTGTCACTCCCCATCTCGTTAAAAAACAATTCTGGGCGGTTTACAGAGAAGATAAAACCAATTAAAATACAATATAAAAACAGCCTTAAATAAACAATAAATAAATTCCAAGAATTGATGGAATTGGCAAGTAGCTGAGGGAGCGAATAAGCTACTACTCAATTAACCCCACTACAGCTTAAGTTGATGGTCTGGTCCACCAACCGGCTAAGGCTGGGTTTCCCACCACACCACACCCCGCATCGCAGATCGCCTGATCCCATTTTGGCCTCGTTGAGTGTGTTGTGTGAACTCAGCTGTGGATCAGAGAGAACGAGCTGTGCTGTTATTGGTTGACTCAACCCCAAAACTGCCCCGCCAACAACCCGGCTGGAAATGCCACCCAGCTGGACGACAGAAAGCGACGTACGGCTGCCGGAGGAATCTGAGCTCTGAGAGCCACGGTCGCGGGCATCCTTGTCGGAGGCAATCTGCCGCGTGATGATCACGTCGATGAAGTTGGCTGCTGTGATGGTGGTCTTCCCACGTGTGCGCAGCTCCTCCTCGTACTTAGATATGGAGGGCGGGCCTTTGTCCTTCCCGGCCTCGGAATAGATGGCAGAAGAAGGCGGGTTCTGGGATTTGCTGCTTGAAAAAGGCGCCGACGCCGATGAGGTGTAGGGGCCGGGGGGGCCCCTCTTCTCCCCCTCCAGCGCCTTCTGCTCCATTTGCTGCTGCTGCTGCTGCTGCTCGCTCACCACTGCAGACCTGCGCCCCGGATTCTCCTCTATCCGCCCCCCATCGTGTTTGCCCTCCTTGGACTTGGCCACTTCCATCTGTGGAGCGGACGCCGCAGCATCCACCAGAGCAGCCAGCGCGTCGGCCGCAGTGCTGTAGCGTGAAGCTGGCAACCCTTGGTTGATGGAGGGAGCGCCAGGGGGCAGCTGCCTGTCGGGGAAAGGAATGAGAATTAAATGAGAGGAAAGAGCCAGACAACAACACGTCCAGGATTGTATTGTCTCACATATCTGGTGTTTCTGTAGCTATGAAGACGGACGCTGAGTCAGCGGACAGGAGGGCCTTGATCGGCTCAGCTGATACACCAATTAAGTCCCTTGCTGGGGGAAAAATGCACCCACTGGAATGTCCCAGGGTTGTCGACTATAACATGGAACTCATCTACGTGGATCCTGTCTTTGAGGCTAGTCCAGAAACATCAATTAGTACAGAGCTCAACATCCAAGCTCTCCTCTGGAACTCAGACTCTGTTACTTTTGTGGAGAAAGCAGGCTGGCTTCCAGTTTTTTTTTTCTCCCAGATAAGGAACAGAATGCTGCTTATGAGCTTTAAAGCCCTGTGCAAAACGGAAAGCAATAAAGATGATGAATGGACTGGAGGCTAAATCCAGTGAAGAATGGTTAAAAGATGTGGGTCTATTTAGCCTAGGGAAGAGGGAGTGGAGGGGAGACAGGATAGCAGTCTTCCAGTCCTCGAAGGGCTGGCCCAGAGAAGAGGATGCAGATTTATTTTTTGTAGTGCGCAAGAGTAAGGCGAGAATCAATGGGTGGGAGGTTAGCAGGGAGATGAGGAGGAATTTGCTGGCCATGAGAGCTATTAGCCGTGGGACAGCCTGCCTCCTGGAGTCATGGGGGATCCATCAGTGGAGGGTTTCAAGAAAAGAACTGGACAACCATTTATCTGGGATGGTCTGAGGATTCCTGCCCTGGGCAGGGGTTGAAGACCTCCAAGGTTCCTTCCCACCCCAGGCGTTCTGTGATTCTGCTTGAGCTAAAGCCATCCTCTACTGCAATGGTTACCAACATGGCAACTTCCAGATGTCTGGACTTCAGCTCAGACCTTCTGTACAGATGCTCCCACTGTCCCTATGAAGTTGAGGGACCAAAGTACTTCATCAGCTTTTTTTTAAAAGGCCCTTGAAATACAATTCTTTAGACAGGATATCAATCATCAATTATTCCAATTCTGATTTTAATATCTCTGGTTTTAAAGCTGTTTTTACACTGCTACCGAAAACTACCAAGAGGTTTCGGAGGGAGGGAGGGAGGGAGGGAGGAAGGAGTTTCCATCAAGTCACTTTGGGAATTGAAGAGCAGAGGAAAACAGCTGCAGTAAATAATGAACAAGCAAGCCACCATCGTAGATCACAGGGAGAATCTTTGAAGGATCAATAACGTTCTTCACAGCCATTCCAAATCCTCCTCATCTGAGCGAAGGATGGCTAAAATCACAGAAGGAATGCAACTGCCTGTCTACCCAAACACACTAAATCTTTTCGCTTTGTGGAAGCTTTCAAAGACACCTTGCTTCTGGTGGGCACTGACCCAAGGGCTCTGGATCGCTCTTAGTATTCATCTAATAAAGCAACTCTAGCCATTGCTTGAAGCCCCACTGACTTCGGTCTGCCCCTGGATTCAACCCATCCCATCCCTCCAGAGCTCTTCGGGGTGCAAGGCAAGCGCTCTGGGCTGGGTCCTTCTCCTTCAGCGGCTGCTCCCCTGGCCTTGGGTAAACTAGGGCCTTTCCCACCACGGAATCAGAGCACTAAGGATAGCGTCGTCAACCTTCTGAAAGCAAACCAGACGTTCTTCATTACGTAGCTCTGGTCCAACCTCCCCAAAGCAATCCTAGAAAGGCTGCTTATCGCAAGGGAAATATCTGCAACACAGACGGAAGCCCCAGAAGTCAAGAAGTCATACATAATGCGCAGCTGGGCGGCAGGGTCCAGCGGGGTGATGACACTCGTCCCGTTGGAGCCTTGGAAAATGCTGGGCCGTTGCTGGAGGATGTTCTCCTGGTTCCGGACCGAAGGCGACGGCGAGCGGACGTAACCGTGGCTGCCTGGTCTCCCTGGCTGCTCGGTGCCTTTGGAACGTGCAGGGAAACTGAGTCAGGAGGTGGAAAGGTAGGGGTCTGGCTGTCCCCCGTCGCCTCCCAAAGGTCACAGCAGATTTTCACCATCTGGTACCCTCTAGGTCAGCTGGACTACAGCTCCCATCAGCCCTGGCAGCGTGGTCCAGTAACTGTGACCAATCCTGCCTACAGATTCTCTTCTGCTGCTGAAAGGAGGTGACAGAAAGAGGCCACGGGAGCTTACCTGGGCGCAGGTAGAGGTCCGTGGGAGTGGACGAGATTCGCTCCCGCTCCCGCTCTTTCTCCCTCTCCCTCTCCGCACTGGCCACCACAGAGGCCGGCAGGTGAGAAGGGTGCCCTGGTGAGCAAAGGGGAGAAGGGGCCTTTGAGGGACGGGCAGACAGCTTACTCACTGGTAACAGGAGAGACGCATCAGCCATTTTTAGAGGATTCTTCACTGAAGTCCCCCCCTTCCATCGCTCCCTCCCCCCCCAAATCCAGGAAATGGAATTTAAGGAGGATGCTAAATATGTCAAGAACTCCTAATTTCATCTTGTTCTTCCTCACGGCCTTTCTTTGGATTACGCAGCTTCACAAAGAGGAAGACATTAAAATGAGGAATCGCTCTACTGTTTGGCATCAACACTGCTGGGGAGAAAGCCACCAGCATATTGGAGTGGGTGAGTTTTAGGTCCTGTCTATCTGCTTTCTCTGTCATGGCCCCCACCCTCGGGAACAGGATCCTCCAGAGACCCGGGTGGCACCCACTCTCCTGCGGTTCCCCAAAGCCCTTCAAGCCTGCCTTTAGTCCCTGGTCTGGAGTTAAATGTGTTGAGGCGACTGTCGTGCTGTGTTTTAATGGCTGTTATTAATCCGGGCTGCTTGATTCTGTCTATGTCAGTGTTGTCCAAACTTGGCCACTTTAAGATGAGTGGACTTCAACTCCCA